ACGGTCAAAATCTTGTGAAGAAGAAGTCTCCGCTTCCAGTGACTTGAAAATCGATTTGGGATGAGTTTCCCAATCACCGCTACAAAACATACGGCTGCCTTTGTGTACCCATATATGCATGCAGCATCACGGCCGCTTCATACCAATCCCTTCGCTTCATAATTTGCTTAGCAAATGAATGAATGAATACAAGCGTCAGGAACGGTCGTCCATTTGTGGGCGGGCGGGCGCTTGGGTGGATATGTTGTGGCTTGATATGGCCTTTATAAGGGGCGCCTTTTGGAAAGGTAGCTATTGCAGACGCCGTTCCAAGTTCGGCAATTCGCGGCCTGCCCGGCGTATTGGATCCTAGTCATCTTGGGGGATTTATCGTCGGCCAACTGCCTTCAAGTTCTACCATTTGTCACAATCCATCCAAAAGTTATGCCTTGTCATGCGAGTTTGATATTATTTTTTTCGAGTCAGCACGTTAAGCTTAACCTCGCTCGGGTGGGGTCTAATTCAAGGGTTGGAGTAGGAACGTAATATTTCCATTCCACTCCGCATTCTATTATGTTTTCGTCGTGATTTACATTAATAAAGTTTTAAGTTTTTTGATAAAGTTTTCTCAGTAGTCTAGGCACCGTTCAAAATTCGAATTGGACCGACTACTTAGTTCAGTCGGTGCTACTAGCAATTCACGTGAAAACATCGCTGTAATCGATGAAACATTGTTCACTGTTTACACGATAGAATACAAAAAATTCCATCCTTATTGTTATTCATTTATTCTCATTTTTATTATTCTTCTTCAAGATCATATGTTGCTCTGTATAATATTATAGATATATATACTCCTGGAAGTAAACAGATCCTTACTGGAAAATTGGTACTGCGCATTCAACCAACGGCAGACTTCATCAAGGAATTTATTTCCCACAGGTTTTAAGAGCTCTACAAAATGGGCTGACGTGCGCTCGTCTCCGAAGATCTTGTTCTTGCCATGTGCATGGAGAAGGGGATGTGCAGCTAGAGGGTTTGGGCTAGCAGCAGTAGAAGAGTTCCACTTGCATCACTTGAAAGTGCGCAGAAACAGCGATGGAGGGTTGTAGTAATGGGATGCTATTTGGGACTCTACCCAAGCAATGTGCAACACGGTCAGGCATGCTCCTTACCATACTAAACGCGCCACTAGATTGCACCCGAGCACTTGTAATAGCTGACCATAGATCTTGTTACTGCTACAACTCGAGTTTCGTATTCGTTAGTACCGTACGGAAGTCATCTCAGCACAACCAGAGTTAAGAGGTAGCCTGGGCGTCAAGAGTTGAGCATTCTTCATGGATCTAGGCATCTAATGGTCCTGCATCACAATAAGGAATGTACCTAGAGAGGTTCCGAGTCCGAATGTGCGGTAAACGCTAAATTTCGGTGTCGTGCAGCACTGTTCACGGCTCATAGAGAAGGTGTGCCCCAGGGAAACAACCTTCACTGGACTGTACATCCTGAGCAGTCTGTGCATCTGGGGGAGGAGCCATGTGAACTCTACGAACTATGCGCCAGGCAGGTGCATCGCTAGATTAGTGTGGTTGCAAACCTTACCCAGCTGGATGAGGGGTTTTATGAAGCCCTTAGCTCCTAGCTGTTCTTGAGAGGTTATTACCTCCGTTCAAGAAACCACTGTCAGTGCACAAATGCCTCGTAGCTCCTTCTACTGAATTCAACCGGAACAGAATTATTGCAACCTGTTTTTTGCAGCGCGTTGCGGGTAAACATTGTTTTCGCCAAACACCCCTACCTATTCCCATTACCTAAACATTTCGATCGGAAAAATCGACCGAATATGAAATAGACGTGAGCCCTACATTTGTCTATCCTCCTTGATTTGCTTCTGTCACAAAAAAGCGCACGCTTCGGAAAGTACTTTTGGAGTGCGCCGTACGATTGCGTTTCGTGTAGAATCGCAGAGTAGTTTGATGACGTACTGGCTCATGCTGTCACCTTCGCAGACCAGACGCCATTCACTTCGTGTTACTAACCTCCAAGATGAGGCACAGGTGGTGTAGTGGCAAGTGGCACGCTTACCACGATCACGGTCTGGGATCAGCTCCCGTCCAGGCCAACCAAGCTTTCTACCCTCTCCGGGGCGTGAATTCTTACTAGATTCGCTCTTGAAGCGAACAAGGAACATTGCATTTACATATCGGCTGGCGTCATCCCTCAAGTCATTTGTATAGGCTTTCATCGCGTTTTCACTCATGCCACTTACGATTCTGCAATTGAAGTGAATGCGTGCCACATCCTAAAACGGATTTCAGCAAGACTTTATTCTTTAGATTTACTCCAAGGTATCGCTCTTATCAAGTAAAGCTTCTACTAAGGCCGAAGACGTAGTAGATAGATGCGGCGGGAACTGGTCCCACGAGCAAGGAGTAACGACACAATTTGACAAAAAATCGTATTGTCTTTGTTCTTCCTCCATTATTTTTCTAATGCTTAGCTTTGCCGATTAATTGACTGTTGTTGTAATTTCATTGGTTTACTTTCTGCATTACTTTCTTGCTCGAAGTAGTATATTAAAGCAGTGGAGGGCGGGCGATTACTGTTAACCTAATTGCTGGAAGGGCTGTGAGAGTTCTAGTCAAACGCCCTCTCACAGCCTTCCACCAATGATATCGGTAGTGACCGCCCGCCCAGCCATGTCTTGCCCACTGCCGTTGAGCAGTGGGGTGAATCCAAGCTAGGAAGTTTCTCTATGACTATTTTATCACAACGATGTGGTGCACGTTTCTAGCCGACTTTGAAAGCCAGAAACAGAACCATGATGAGGCTTGCTGAATGCACAATCCATGGTGATCGTTCGGAATCGGACGGACTAATGCGCTTTGTTCTGATGATTGAGTACTGCTGGCCCTCTCCGCCTGTCAAGAAGAAGGGAGGCCGTTTATCAGATGAGGACAAACAATGCTGCTATCTCGACGCATACTATCGTGCGGTGATGTACTCTTCAGTCGTTGATGGTGAACATAAGCTCTCAGTTTCGTGAAGCGTATTCGATCTGAGTAGCTACTTTATGTTCATCGCCTGTAAAGGAATTTCATTTTAAAGGAGGTTTATCTGTGCGGGCAGTGGCCCAGCTCTGCGTAGGCGGGGCTCCTAATCCTAGTGCCCACACTTCATTAGTGCGTAATGCCAGTCGACGTATTAGCACGTTCAGTGCTATCGCTGCCTGTACACTTGATAGATACTAGTTTCAGAACAATGTCATGCATGCTCTTTCGTGATGCTCCTCCCGTCAGTCTTTCAAACTCAATGGAGAAATATCAAATTGAAGAGGTAACGGTTAGTATGGTTCAAGAAAGAACTTTTCAGTGTATTCAGATTATCACTGATCCTACTATCTGTATTTACAAACATGTACCACGGAGCAGAAAAAAACCAAGCATATTAAGGACCTCATGGGCATGGCCCCGCAAACGGTAGGGCCGGGGCGTGAATTGGAGCGCCGCCAAGACGGCATTTCTACCATCGTTGTCACCCTGAGTCGGCAACGACTGGCAACTCACGCCCTCGTTACACGCCCTGTCGTTTGCAGAGATCATGAGCGTAAGTGAGCGACCAATAATTACCGAAGATAGCGGCTGTAATTGGAAGGAATTTCTACGTGTGGGTGGTTCAAACGGGCACTGCCTGCTCCCACTATTGGTGCATATCCCTTCGCTTGACAAACGAGGAAAGCTGTACAAGAACGGGCATCATCAATACGTGCAGGCTAACCCTATACAGTCTTATTTGCTGATACTGTGGCGTGTCAGTGGGGCTAGATTCGGAGTGGTGCCAACCAGTTTTCCACCGATTGTTCCAAAGAGCAAGCTACAGCAGTTGGATGGAAAACAGGCTGACACGGCGCCAAACCCATGCTCCTGACGCGCCCCAGCATCGGCAGCGATAAAGGTGCGTGTACGTCCTCACATCCTCCGCTACCTTGCTTACGCCTTCCTTCGTACTTGTACTCAGAGATAGTTATCAAGAATATTTATGCTGATAGTTTGCTCTTCGGCTTTTCAAAGATCAAGGTTCTCGCTAATAAATTCATTCTTTATATTGTACTTTATTTTACAATCAATTCTAGGAAGCACAAGAACCGGCCACAAGTTACCAGTCGACTGTTAGCACACCTTCTCCATCTGCACCAGTTGTGAAAAAATTCCGTAACGTCCGCAAGAGCAACATATACTCTTGTGTTGTCTGTGGTGATAAAGTTAGCAGCATGTTGATTTACATGGATTGGTACATCAAAATTTTGTATCGATTCCAGCCTACTGGTTATCATTACGATGTGCTTAGCTGTAATGGATGTAAGACATTCTTTCGTCGTACAATCATCAATAATCGGAAATTCATCTGTTCAAAAGGTGGAACATGCCAGTTCAACAAAGGTTCGTAGGAATGACAATGATTTTTGATATGCCTTAAGACACCTTTGACGCTCATCGCTTGGGGGCGAAAATGGGCAGACACTCACAACCATTGTTCCTTCCACATTGTTGCGGTCCCTCCAAAGGGGAAGGCTACGCAAGGTACAAGAGCTCTGAGGCTCCGCCCATTTTTGTCGACTCCGCCCATCGCGTAGTGGGTCTCCAGTTTGCAAAGATCGTGTGATGTGAGTTTGTTTTATTGGTTCTTCAGAATAGGAATATCAGATTTTTCGCGTGGTTGCGTGCAGGAGGCCGATTCGCGTAAATGGTATAAGAGTTGGTATGAATGCAAAAGGTTGGTTCTGTTCTCCAAAATGATACTGCTTTATTCGGGTTACTTTTTTTCATATAGCAACCATATTTAAGTCTGCCTAGCCTCAACAGGGCATCCTTTCACAGTCATCTGTGTCATGTTTCTTTGAGGAAGGACCCCCACAAAGAAAAGAAGATTTCACACCTAGAGGGAGGAAGACCTACAAATTGCTTCCTCGAATTCCCCTCTCCCCTCCCAAATTTAGCAGATAAAATATAGTTGTCATAAGCAATTCATTGGGACTAGCTTTGAAAAGCTCAAATAATGCAGTCCAATGCACGCTACATCGATTTGGAAGCCACATGCGTGACATAACAATGCGCCTATATTTGTGTCGAAGGGTTTCTCCCAAGAATGACTCCTGTAAGGCGATTTGGATTAGTTTAGGTGGCAGGTTTGATTTTCGTGAGGGGCGCAAAATGTTATTGCGAAAGGGCGAAATGTTTAGACGTTTCAATGTCAGACGTCCTTCACAACCCTATGAACTGCGTTATAAAGTACTTTGCGCAGGCCGTACGCGTAGCGCTTCAGCGTACGCCAGCGGCAGTGTCGGGGAAAGGATAGATATCGATCTAGCGTTCCCAGCGTCACCAGCGTACGCTAGCGGCACGCTAGCGCACGCTGGCGTAGCGAGGGCACGGGAAGCATAGCTATCGATCTAGCTTCACCAGCGTTTCTCCAGCGTTTTCCCAGCGCTTGCAGCGACGGGGCTAGAAGAGGGGCGGAGAGAAGTATTAGGGGCTACGAGAGTATTAAAGTGAGGAGAGTATTTTGTACTCTCCTACATCACGTGCCTCTTAGTCCTACAGTTCCTGCTCCTAGGGCCCCTCCTAGCCCAATCGCTCAAGCGACATATGCGCTAGGCTAGCGTACGTTGGTGACACTGGAACGCTACCGGTGCGATCATCTATCCTTCCAAAACACTGCCCGCTGCTACCGCTGAAAGCCGCTACGCTACTGCCTGCCGACAAAGTATAGAGACGCAAGGGCCCTATCGGCTTGGCAGAGGGCACAGTTCGCCCTGCAAGCAGCGACTCGGGTATGTGAAGACCGTGGCAATGAAACGCGGCCTTCTTCAACGCATTCCCGCAATATTGCGGTGGTGTTTCGAGGGATGGGTATCGGTTGGATGTGAGGGAAAGCGTCATTGGACTACGCGGCCACGAGTGTCGTCTTGGCTTAACGCGGTAGGCAACCGAATGATCAACATCCGTGAGGAAGGTGCTAAGCACAGAAATATGTGAAGAAAGAAATAATCTTGCGGAAACTTCTGAACTGCTTTTTGGATCTCTGGGTTCCCTTGCAAAAAAGCTCTTTGCGCCTCTCGTACCTTATTCACCATCTTGATTCTAATGAAGCTTCGGGACAGCACAGTACTAAGTTGTTCAGGTATTCAATTCCCAAACAATTCGCAGGATTCAAGTTCACAAGGCGAATACGAAGAGAGTGGGTATAATATCGGAGATCGATTCATCACCACAAAGTTCAACAACGGAAGGTATGTACATGTGCAAACATGTGGGAGTTACTCGTCCTCAAGCAACTTCTTCTCACTGGTGATGTACCCCACAATAGATGCCCCAGGGTCGACTGTGGCTGCGTACCTCACTTGAACATGACAATGCGTTTTCGCTGGATATTTTTATTCGAAATTGCCGTCCTAATTATATGCTGGCTCAACTGTAAGATCCTCACCAATAAGGCAAAATGGGCGTCACATTCAAATGAAGTACGGCTTCGAGTCAGTGTTGCTCCGACTTGGTGCAACTTCACCAAGTCACAGCATCACTTCAATTGGCTCTCTGGTGAGTTTCTCTAATTCTCCTGAGCGTCATTAGGTCTCGTAGCGCGTTTTACGTCATATGTCTTTGGAGGCGAGCCAACATGCGAGTCAAAGGATTTTAAGTTCTCACAGACGATTCGCCGATAGCACAGAAGCTAATCACGAAGATGGAGGCCAATAGCCAAAGGGTTTATGGGCCGTGAGTTGACTCCATCGATGAACTGTAAACCGCGTCAGGAGAATCAGCGCGTACGCACAAAACAGTTACCGCGTGCCTTCAAACAATAGCAAACAAGAGCATAGATCCTTGCTCTTGATTTTGTGAGGCACGGTCCACGCATAAAAAAGCCAGGTGATGTTGAGAAATGGAGAAGATACTTCGCTAAGTGAACGGTAAGGAAAAAAAAGCAAAAGGGAATGTTGGGAACGCATTCGTCAGGCCTGCTTTACCCTCAAACAACTGTAGAGGTAGAGGACCGAAAGGACCGCGCGCTGGGACAATTCCCATCAGCTGATTCTCAGTAGTAAACCCTACACTCTACAATACACATTGAATGCGCTGAGAGGCCGGAATAGGATGGTCGCCAGGCGATCCGCACTGCGTCACGTCACGAAAAATCAAACTCTCGAAGTGAACCTACCCCGGTCCTCTCAAATGTTTGCTGAGGGGGGAGGGGTGAACTATTGACTGCTCTGATAATGTACTCTTGAGCAGTACAGGCAGCCACACCGACGCGCGCATACCTAACTCCTCATCATTACGGACTGTCGGGGCGTATCGGCCAGAAGGAGTGCGCACACTGTTTGAAGCCGTTCTCAGCCTTTTCTTTGAAGCGCGTATGCGACAAAAAGTGGTAGAAAACGAGTAATACGAAGGATATAATGCTGTTATGTCATTTGATCGCTTCAACAACTGGTGCAGAAAGACTTTGGAACCGCGGAAAACGCAGCCGCACTGACCCGCCCCGACAGTCCGTAATGATGAGGAGTATAGCGGGTCGAACGAGGCGGTTTCGCAAACGTTTTCGGACTTCGACAGAACGCTAGCTCTATCGGCGGTGGCGAGTGTTTGGCAGCGAAATGACATCGATTACACATCTACTGCTTTCGCCCAACCGCCCAAAACCGAGCGGCGGTATGCGGCGTCACGGGCTTGGGCGAATCTCGATAGCTGATGTACCTATTTATTGCTTGTTCCGCCAACCGCCGTTTCGTCACAGCCTGCGGAGCCTGTCAAACAAGTGCACTCACGCGAGATATGAAAGTAGAGTAACAGGAACGGACGCGTCGTCGGGCCGGGTTATCACTTTTGTAAGAACTGGTGGACGCTCATCAACGACATAAGTTGATTCGTGACCACCTTTCTGTAAGAAATAGCGTTCCGAGAAAAAGTACATCTAGCGACGAACATTTTCCCTCAGGGTCTAAGAACTCAACAATCCGTACAAGCGCGAATGTCACCTTTTTCGTCCAGCAGTTGTGTTTTACATTGCCCGATCCCTTCGACCGGCCGGACTAACCGCGAAAGGGAAGAGTTCGTTTACATTGAAAAGGCGGTGGAGGTCGGAGCGAGTCCACTGGACTATGTGTCGCTATGACGCCTTACCCTTACAATTTTTATTACGCGGCGAAAAACCGGTACGAGTCTTTCGCCGCTTACCCACATTTACCCTCGCCGACGCCAATTTCCAGGCTCCTGTATCACTGCGTTACCTTCAAAGGCACCCATCCACGTTGAAAAACGTAGATGATGTTGCAAAAAATGTTTGGAAGAACGTTCGATCAAATGAAAGTCTATGCATTTAGAAAGTGCCTAACTGGGAACGTGGAACGCATTTCTCAGGCCTCCTCTACTCTCGAACAACTGTAGAGATAGAAGGTCGAAAAGACCGCGCGCTGAGGCGATCCCCTTCGGCTGATTCTCACTAATGAATATGACTCTACAAGAGATATTGAATGCATCCACTACATGATACTCGCCCGGGAGCATTACTTTTGGCTGGAAGGCTGACTTTGGAGCCGGAGTCACTGGAAAAAGGGATGTGCCACTGACACCTTTGCGCCCTAATCCCTTTACCGTACAAATTCACGCCGCGAAACTGGCACAGGGTTGTCCAGCCCGGACTGCACTTCTTCCCACATAGCCCATTGCATTTTCATAGGTCATCGAGGACCAATCCTTTAGACTTATGCATTGGGATAAGAGAAGTCAGTGGAAGTTCAAATGGGATAGACATGTAGCAGCAAATAGCAGTTTTTCAAAGTTATAATTTTTCCTTCAGAAGTCTATTCCATGGCGCCGTCTGCCACTAATTCAACATCAGTTTCACGTATCGACATTTTGCGTAACACAAGTGACTTTGAACTGGTGAATACAATTGGCTCTCTGGTGAGTTTCTCTGACTCTCATTAGGCCCAACAGCGCGTTCACAGGCTTGCAGGCTTGTTCGCTGCGGATGCTCAGGCGCGGTAAGGGGGAGGAGTACTGGGTTCATCCCGGCCAGCCCATTTTTCACCAGTCGTTGTCACCTGCTCGCTTCAGCAATCGTGAAGACTGGGTCCCGCGCACAGCGCCCACCGCTTGACAATCCCCGGCATTCGCAGCGATTAAGTGTGTATGTCATATGCTTTCCGCACTTTTTTGAGCTGTGGCAATGGTGCTGAGATGTGAACCCGGTAACTCTGTAGAATGGACTGTTTCACCCAGTCACTTTGACCGGCACACCTGTGACATTAACTTTGATCGATACTACCTTTCTGTTCGGGAACGCCCCAGCACAGACGAACATTTTATTACTATTTAGGTTTGAACGCGCTAATTGTACTGAATGTGCGGTAGGACATCTGGGATCACTCGCTTAGGGTTGGCACACGATTTAACTGCCAAAAAGAAGCTCCCAAGGGCCGTTCCGCATAATCAGTGCTCTGAGACTAGATTTGAATTGCAGGTCCATCGAGAGCATTCTGCCAAATTTCTCCGTCGAGTGGATTGCCCTATCTTTTGTCAGTCGACTCTCAAGAAAATATTAAAAGAGCCTTCTATTATTGGAAGAATCAAATTTGATCAGGTAACATTTCATTCAGGTATTATTTATGAAATCTTCGGCCGGATGTCACTTCAAAGAATGTTTTGCATGTAGATATTCAGGATTTGGACTGCACCCAATTGGAGTACTACAAGGAAAATCCGATCAAATTTTGGATGGTTGCTGATCTCTTCCTTGCCGTTGAATACGCGAAAACATTCAAGTGCTTCACAAACTTGTGCGAAGCGGACCAGGTATGCCTTTCAAATATTTTTTGCGCTCGTCACTATTTTCACGTGTTTTTTTTGCAAGGTCATATACAGCAATTCTATAGCTACTGCGGAAAAAATTGCGGTCATGCCGTTTATCCGATTCCCTTGGCCACATTTATATCACGGTTTTCCGCTTCATAGGCTTCACCGGTCTTCAGAATCACTCCCTCAAAATCAATCTTTATATTTTAGAAACTGGACCACAAGGAGAGGGCAGGATGATCTGTCGGCGCTTGACGGGATTAGGACCTATCTCGTCTTAGTGGGTATGCAAGAACTCAAGCGAAGAAGAATACTTGAAACAGCTGTTCTCAACGGGCAGCTGGTAACCACACAGTTCCAAGGATGTTTTTTGTCCGAGCCGGCGATTCTTCTTAAAGGCGCAACCACAGCCGCGCAACAGCATGGACTGTAGGAAAACCCCTTTGCTCAGCTGGGTACGAACCTTACATGGCCGACTATGTCTAGGATTAAACTGCACGCACCCCTTTCTCCGATGCATTTTTTATAGAGGTTAGAAACAGCAGTTTGTTTTCAGCAGAAACTCCTTGGTCATGCCGGTGGTATGATTCAAATTGCCTCGCAAGCGTTTTACACACTGGACCAGAAGGAGGAAAGCCTCGGGACAAAAAAGTTGATGGCACGATCATGGCTTTGGAGGCGTGCACATGTCATCGTAGAGATCCCGCCCACATGTATAGCCACCGCTGCTTTCAGTTTCTCCTGAAGCGATCTGCTGTAGCTAAACAACAACAACAACAACAACAACTTGTTTTCAGGCGCTATCAGTTTGAGAAGTACTACCGAGAAACATACGGCCGTCCAGTTGCCATAGTACGGTCTCTGTCGATGACCAGGGAACAATTTGCTCTATTCAAAGCAATTTTACTATTTAGTCCAAGTAAGTATGAATGCTGAACCATAATTAAAGGACAGACATATCTTGAATAGACAAGAGTGGCCGGCGCCCGCGATTAATGACTGCGAACTTACATAACGACGGACAGTGCTGACTGTCGCAAGGACACGGATTAATTATTAGCACCAATGGCAAATTGAGGGAGTTAGTAGCAATCACCAGCTAGAACTACCCTCCAGCTGGTAATTACTAATAACCTCCGAGTCATTTGAGCTAATTTCTAATTGCCCTTACGACCGTCAGTACTGCCGTCGGCAAAGGTCCAATCAGATATAGTTACGGTCGCTGTAAATGATAGGGCGTGCGAACAGGCGTAAATTCGAGCACAGTCAGAACAGCTTGTTCCACCAATTGCCGCGGACTTAGGTTGGCATTATTGGTGAGAAAGCGCTCCAGTTCACGCTCAGCATGCTCAATGTCTTTGAACCTTTCACTACGTTCTCTTTGGTCTTGATAAGGATGCTAATTGGAATGAAGCCTTCAGATAACCTCGACTTGACTCCTAGTGGTCGCTTTGATGTTGATGTCGAACGTGAACGGCTCATCTTTATACTACGCAAGGTATTTCTTGTTATCCAGAAGGACATAGATTTTTTTTCAAATTTTATTACGGCTTTTATTAGAAGTAGCATTGGGCGGAGACCAGAACTGCCTTATTCGCCTCCTCTTGGACTTCCTAGAACGAACCGCGCACCAATGAGGGAGGCCCAGTGGTTCACACTCTCCGCCCACGTTCGAGCCCATCCTTTAACGTGGGATGGGCTCTGAGGTGTAGAAAATGAACTTTCACATAGCCCATTGTTCACTCTGGATAACTATCACCGCTCTCACTTTTTAACATTATTTGCCGTGGTGATCATTAAATCTTTCGATTTTTTTTCTCCTCCTTTTTTTACCTGGACGAGGGGGAAAATGATGAGAGTTCGAATTTTAGTGTCTCCTGAACGAACTTGGTCCAGCTCTAGGCGCTGAAAAGCTCGCAAACATCCTCCTGTCAATCGCCTCATTCATTGACCTCGCCGAAAAACGCCGGAATTATCTTGAAGTCTGTGATTTAATGTCAACCTTAACTCTTTCATCGTTAGCAAAAGGTGTCTATTTGAAGCAATTTGATTTGTAGTTAATTGTACTGTTGTATTCTAGTCTGAAATAAATTAAAGAACCGAACAATAGAGTATTTATTACTGTTTCTGTTAGGGTGTCCAAAGAGTCTTGCACCAACGTTCACACTTTATTCGATCCATTGTGCAGTGCCGATCGGAAGGAAGTGCGCGCAGTGTAACGGAGAGTCGGGACGGGAACACGCAGTTACCGGGACACCCTACACGACCCTCAGCACCACAACTTTATTAGTTACTGTCACTGGCCAGCAATACAGTGACCAATATGATCCACCACGTAAGCTCAACACTCCACTAGACCATCAATTCCAAACGTTCGTATTTATGACGGCTGCAAGTCGAAGAAGAAGTATCTTCTTTCCAGCTCTTTCTTATCGACAAATCAAGAGAATAAGGAGGATGGGGTAGAATTTTCCCAACTAAAACCTCCACTGTTTTCCACAACAGATCTGTTCGGAGTAAAAGGCGGGATTGAAGGACTAGAACCGCATAGTTTCACCTCAGCGATGGCGGGAAAACCTATTGCAACGCAGCACATTACTCGTACACTCTCTACTTGAGATGAGGCCTGTACAGGGCCGGTATGGAAAGCTTTCGACCCATGAACTTACAGGGCTTAACGGCGACGGATGTGTAATTCCGTG